CTTATCCCTCCTTTCTTTAGACCTGTAACCATTGCATACGCAGCTTCTCAGTTCAACCAGGGTTCTTGTTATTGATGTCCAAATTGAAAAGTAACCTGGGCTTATGATCTGCTCAATTTCTGTTCAAGTCCTGTGAACCAAATTTAAAAAAAGATCAGTATTTCAGATAGTTTAGTAGCTCAGCATCTTACTTTATAGTGACAGTTCATGGTCCCCATGTGAATAACTCCCTCCCTGTCTCTGCAGCTGGAGTGAGGACTGGAGCAACAATGTTCTGTCTGACACTGAGTCTCACTCTGTGATGTCCTTGGCGGAGAATAGCCAACGGGCCACACAGGGCGCCCGGGGTCGTCTGAATGCCACAAGTGGCACCACTGACTTAAGTTCTAACTCAGCAAAGTGCCGAGACAGCCAGCTGCAACAAGAGTTGCCTTAAACTCCCAGGTAACTAGTCAAAAGATCTTAAACTCTTAAACTGACCTATGAGGAAGAGGAGGAAGAAAAGGTTAATCTGACCAAAGAAGAGATCAGTTCATTTTGTGCTTTGCACCATTTACTATTTTATTCTAGTGTATCAGCTGGATTGATTTATTTTTTTATCTAATTTAAGGAAGAACTTAAAAATCCTGCGTCTTTCTTTGTCTTTTGATTGGACTTTTCTTATATTATTTCCCTGTCCTTTTTTCTTTTATCATTTAAATGTAAACATTATTAATTTTCAATTCTCCAACATGTAACTAAAGACAGTTTTAATGGTCTTGATATTAAATATGTCAATGTTTCAAACACGTTTAGTTTTAGTGAAAAAGGTGGACATGCTAAATATTACCAATATTATCAGAAGTTTCCAAACATTCTGTTTATTTTTGGCTCCTGGATTAAACATTTGTTTTATTTTTACTTCTCCAAGGAGATTGTGTTTTTAGGAGAGCCTGTCTCTCTGTGTTCAGGATAACTTCAACGGTTATGGACGGATTATAATGACATTTTTATCACAGTTGTCCTTAATGGCAAAGAACAATCCATTAAATGTTGATGATGATCCTATGATGGAGTATTAGGGCCAGGCTAGAGATTTTTTTTCTTCTATTTCGAGAATAAAGTCGCAAATTACGAGAATAAAGTGCTAAAATTGCAAGAATAAAGTCATAATAATTAAAGAATAAAGTCCTACGATTACGAGAAACAACTTGTATTTAATGACAACTCTTCCAAGAAGCCCTTTCTTCCCTAAAATGAGGAATGTGGAGCATCGTGTGAAGTTCTACTTTAGCATCGGTTTGATAAATCAGGAAATCTTTTAGCAGCAGCATCAAACTGGGATGGATGTCAAAGTGGACTCTGGCTGCTGATTGGTGGAGCTGTCTCGGCGCTCATCTGCTGGGCGGAGCTCCAAGCTTTCTTTCTGAAATGGGTTGTGGTACGATGACTTCATTCTCGTAATATTAAAACTTTATTCTTGTAATGTTATGACTTTATTCTCAAATTTTTCCAACTTTATTATTGTAATGTTACGACTTTATTCTCGTGATTTTACAACTTTATTCTCGTAATGTTACTACTTTATTCCCAAATTTTTCCTACTTTATTCTCATAATTTTACAACCTTATTCTAGTAATGTTACGAATTTATTCTCACTATGTTACGACTTTATTCTCGTAATGTTACTACTTTATTCTCGTAATGTTACTACTTTAT